TCTCCTTCACCCCCAGCCCTCCTCTCTGTCTGTCTGTCTGTCTGTCTGTCTGTCTGTCTGCCTGCCTGTCTGTCTGCCTGCCTGCCTGTCTGTCTGTCTGTCTGTCTGTCTGTCTGTCTGTCTGTCTGTCTGTCTGTCTGTCGGCCTGTCTGTCGGTCTGTACGTCTCTCTCTCTCTCTCTCCACCTCTCTCTCTCTCTCTCTCTCTCTCTCTCTCTCTCTCTCTCTCTCTTCATGTTGGGGGAGGGAGTTGTTCATTAGCAAAATCTGAAAACAAGGACAAAACTTAAAAGCCCTGAAGATACAAAGAAAAACCTTGTGCAAAGCAGAGCACTTGGAGCAGTGGTAAAAGCAAATGAGAAAGAAGAAGGACAAAGGGATCCCGAGAGACAGCACTCATAATAAAATAAATTAAAAGATACGACCAAAGAGGTTGCATACGACCCTTTTGAAGGGCAATAGCTCGGTTATCTTTTCACCAATTTCAACACTACTATGAACAAATAATATTCAACCGACAGGACGTCAAATTTGTTCATATGAAGAAAATCTGAGAAATAAATCTATATTAAGTTTCTAAAATATCAACCAAAATTCAGCCAAACGCACACTTTACAAATGCTTAAAATCAACCGTAATGTGTATTTGCGCATCAAAGAACAAATCTATTTGAAACTGACATTGCGAATCAAACTCAAGGGAGAGGTGATTGATATTTAAATGATATGCTCCAGGTGTCGACCATTTCTCTCAAGACAAGCTCAAAAACGCTGCCGGAAATTCTGAAAAACCCCGCGGCGTGTTTCTGTGTCGATTCTTTATACCTCTTGCTCAAAGCTGAATGTCAACCGTTGGATTGTTTGAGGGTTGTTTCCGTATACCTGTCTTTCAAAAACTCCAAAGAAAAACATGGCATTTTGAATAGGTCATATTTTATTTTAACACTCTGTCACAGCAATTTCAGTTGTAAATCCATTTATTCCTCAATGAACAAAAATACATTGTTGTTGATTTTAACGATTTTTTTTAAACTCAATTCTGGTTGAAAAAACAAGCAAACAATATTTTTTCAAGCACGTTGATTTATTTTCTTCGTATTAACAAAGATCGTACATAACAGGATAGTTCACTCCTCCCTTTGAGCCAATTAAAAAAGTGTCCTCACAATTCGGTTGTGCCCTCTTCGAAAAAGTGCGACTTTGCGATCAGAGTTACCCTACTTGCGTGAAAAAAAATCAATAAAAGTGAAACTAATACACTATTCTTCTTCTGGAGAAACGAAAGAAAGCTTCAAAACAAAGACTGCAGCGCCATCTGAAACAATGCGCGGACTTCCGCGGACACTTTTTTGGCTGAGTGAACTATTTTGTTATTTACGATCTTTTTTGTTAATCAGTTTGACTGTCCTGGTGGTTAAATTTGATCTGTTCCAATTTTTGTTGAAATAATTGGTGAAAGGATAACAAAAGTAATGCCCTTTACATGTTTTTCTTTTTCTTTTTCTTTCTTTTTTTTTTAGACGTCCCTTATTACACTTGTGAGCATATAATTATATCTGTTCGTGGGTACTATTCGACAGATGATGATGATGATAATGATGATGATGATGATGATGATGATGATGATGATGATGATGATGTTTTTAAAATATGTCAGGAAATTCTCTAACTGAAATTCTGCTGCTTTTTTTTGTTGTTGTTGCTATCAGACTTACAACAATTATGATGGTGATGATAATAATGAAAATGAAAATGATGACGATGATAATAACAATGATAATAGTGATGTTGATGTTCGTGATGATGAACATGATGATGATAAAGACGGTAAAAATGGCAAAACTTGAGAAGATAAAGAGTAACTTGTTGAAACTGATCCTGTCCCTAAAAAAAAAAAAGAAAAAAATCCATGGGGACGACATAATTTGCATTTCCTTCGCTCTCTCTCGCTTTTCTTCCTCGCTTATCATTGTTCAGCCTGTAATTATCCAAGGGACGCTAGACCCCACCCTACCCCTCCTCCTACACCCCTTCCTCCCCCCCCTACCCGAAGCAGCAGCGCCAATTAGTGAAGTTTCTTGGGGACAGCATCATTCTTCAACGTCTCATTTGAGGTCACCAGAAACGTTACTTTGCTCTGCTTTCTTTATTATCATCGAAAAGATGACCTTACACAGGTCACTGAACTTGAAAGCAAACTCGTATTGTATTCTGTGTTTGGGTCACGCGTATGCTCTCGTGTCCAGTAGCAAATACAAAAAGCAGAGATAATCTTTATTCATCTCTCTCTCTCTGTCTCTCTCTCTCTCTCTCTCTCTCTCTCTCTCTCTCTCATCTCTCTTTCTCTCTCTCTCTCTTCCTCCCTCCCTCTCTCCCCCAAGATTTCTCTCTCTCTTTCTCTCTCTCTCGCTTTCTCTCTCTCTCTCTCTC